GGAGAACCTAAGACTAAGGCAGATATAATAAGAGTGAATAAGTGGCACTGATAAAGAATAGCTGGAGAGAGAAGAGATCTTGAAAAGTATAATGATAATGGCTAACATTTATATGGTGTTTATCATGTGTCCGTTACTGTCCTGAGCACTTAACAATCATTTCATTTGATTCTCACAACAACTCTGAAAGGTAGGTGCTATTATTACCCCCATTTTACAGATGAGGAAACTGAGGTAAACAGAGGGGAAATGACTTGCCCAGGGTCACACAGCTACTACATATCTGACACTGAATTTGAACTCAGTTCTTCCTGACTCCAGGTCCAGTATTCTATCTACTGCATCACCAACATGCCCAGTATAAAGTCAAAGAAGTCAAGGAAGAAGAGTTATTAGGAGATTAAGGAACCAATAAGCATTCATTATGAATTTACTAAGAGCCAGGCACTCTGCTAAGCGTCAAATGCTAGAAAGAGGACAAGGAGACTGATAATTGAGGAAAGATCAATAGATGCCAAAAGAGGAGGTCACTGGCAACCTTAAAGAAAAGAGATTTAATAGACTAATGGGGAAAGAGGCCAGATTGAGGCAAGAGGGGAGGGGAATTATACTCAGTTTTAAATTAAGATGGAATTTTGTGAAAGAAAAGAATTAAAAAAGAAAAGGAAAGAGACAACACATACAACACATATAGGAAACTTTATTTGAGAAACTTAGCCCTAAAAGGAGAGGCATGGTACCATAGTGTTTTTTTTTTCAAAAAGCATTTTTCAAGGTAATAAAATACCTGCATATATTTAAAGGCATAAGGCAAGGAATCAGTAGGCACTAAAGAGAGAGAAGACACTAGAAGAAGTCATTCAGGCAATTTTCAAAGAAAGAAATCCTATCCACAAGATTATGGAAAAACACTCCACAATACTAAAAATTAGAAACTGTAGATTAATTTTTAAAAATTATGACAAAGGAAAGTGGCAACTGTTAAGGGAATTCAGGAAAACAGGAACACTAAAGCACTGTTGATGAAGCTGTGAATTAGTCCTGATATTCTGGAAAGCAATTTGTAACTATGTCCAAAAAGTCACTAAACTGTGCATGTCCTTGACCCAGTGATACCACTAATAGGAGGCTATACTCCAAAGAGAGCATGGAAAGAGGAAAATGACTAATTTTTATGAAAATATTTGTAATAGTTCTCTTTTTTATAGCAAAGAACTAGAAGCTAAGGTAGGGGGAGGGGGAGGGTACCCACCAACTGAAGAATTGCTGAACAAATAAATTATGGTATAAAAATGTAAAGGAATACTATTGTGCCATATGAAAGGACAAAAGGGGTGGCTTCCAAGAAACCTGGGAAGAACCAATAAAGAGTGAAATGAACAAAAGCAGGATAACAGTTTATATAACAACACATTATAAAGATAAACAACTTTGAAAGACTTAAGAACTCCGATCACTGTAATGGGTAAACACAATTTGAGGGGACCAAAGATCAGGCATGCTATCTACCACCTGACAGGGAGGTGATGGGTTCAAGGTACAAAATGAAACATACAGTTTTGGAGCTAGTTAATTTGGGAATTTGTTTTGCTTGACTAGACGTATTTGTTACAAAGGTTTTATTCTTCATTTTCCTCAGTTTGGAAGGGGGTGGTGGTGAGGAGCTAAAGCGGATAAGATTGCCCAAAAAAGGAAATAAAAAGAAAGAAGCATCATTGAAACATAACTTTTGAAATTCACAGAAGAGAAAAGAAGGAAAGCCAGAAGGAAATGGACAAACAACACAGCTTTGAAAAATATATGTTGAATTTATTACATAACTGAAAAAGAAAAGCTATCTGTAGAGATATGCAGTTTCACATGCAACCCTCTCTTTCTGTTCTACTATGTATATGTAAGTTCTCATTTTCGTTGGTATTTATTATGTTCAAATTTAAAAGGGGGGAAATCCCATTATGTTACTACAGAAAATCCATTTTAGGACTGAATTGTGAGAGATTATTTAAAGAAATAAATGCAGATTGTTAATGCATCCACAATAAAGAGGTTCTGTCAATAAAGAATCTATCTTTCAGATGAGAAAAGATGACAGCAAGAAAAGAAACAGGAAAGTTGCTTTATGCCCGATTCTCTTCCATCTTAAAGAACAAAAAAGCTTCCAGTGAAAGAGGTTATGGGTAGTCAGGGATCTTCAAAGATAAAAGATTCAGAATGGTCAAGTAGGGAGCAAACCAAGAAAGCCTTAGATACCTCACAAAAGACTATGAATGGCCTAGTGAACCACTTCAGTATAGGAGGAAAACTTCCTTCTCTAGAGCACTTGTTAGAGCGGATGCCAAAGTGAAGAATACTGCTCTTAGAAGGAAACAACAGCCAGGTCACTAAAAGGTGTCTAAGTTCTATCAGTGAAGAGAAGCCTGATGTTCACATTTTTGAGATTAATACATGCTGTCTCAATGCTGTAGCATGAGCTATAGAAATTTTTCAAATATTAATAATGATTAGAATTCCACAGTAACTACCAAGTAGCTAATTACCATGGAACTCAATTCCTAGCCCTTTGCTGGTAGCACACAATGAGGGCCACGTGCCAGGTACAACATAGATGTAACCACTAATGAGGTGTTAGTCACAGAAAATGCAGGTCTGCCACAGGTAGGAAGTTCATACCAAGGTAAGGAGACAGCTAACAGTCAAACCTGTAGGGTGGTCCACAGGATTCAAGACTGGAAATAGTGGCTGAGCCCCAAGCCCATGGTGTTTAAAGCAAGAAAAATCTTCTGGGTCCTCTGGAGATCCTATAGACAAGTAACAAGGGATGGGGCACATAGTGGGCACTCAACAAATACTCACTTGTTTCTGTGCAAGGGCACAGAATGCTCCCAGTAAATAATCCTATGATTGTAAGAATTATCAAAGTTCCTTAGCTTTCATATCACATCCAACTCTGGGCTCCTATCCATCTTGCTTCATATTCCTTCTTTCCCCTACATTCTTAAAAATCAAAGACAACGAAACCCATTTGAGAACCTCTTCTTAAATACTGTTTGGCATGTGAGTCTGCCTTTAGAATTTATTAAAAGACAGAACTCATCTTTCAAGCCTAGATATAGTAAAATCATAACTTCTGGAGGAAGGAGATTATGACATATGCCAAAGTGTGATAGCATCCTTCCTGCTGACTGCAAATCATTTGCTGAAAGAAGCAACACCATCAGCTATCACCTTTTCAATCTATGATGGCAATGTGGGGATACAGGTTGCAAACTCTGAAGCAATACAAACCTGTGGGAGAAAAAACTGGCTTCTGGGCTTTTCTCCCACCTGTAAGATATCTGACTTACAGGTTCAGGCACTGTGGTCACTTTAGTTGATCCTTAACCCACAAGTTAGTGTCTCTTAACCATTGCCCAGCATGACCTAACCTGTGAGGTACCAGGCACAGCTTGGTTCCCTTGGCTAATCAGATAAATTAGTTCTGCCAGGCTCTTAGCAAGATTTGCCTCAGAGGAGAGGGATGATTTTATGTATCCTATCCTCAGGCTTCATTATGTAACTCATTCTGATGTAGATATAATCCAATCTCCATACAGATAGTTCTGCTTCTACGAGACAAAGGGGAACAAAAGCCAACTAATCCTAAAATTCCACTCAACATTTTTACTTTCTCCCTTCTACCTGACTTCCAAAGGAAGCAATGATGGTTTTGTTAACAAAAGCAGCAGCAAATGGAACCACAACTGGGCACTCTATTGTAGCTTGTACAAATTATACCCCAAGGTAAATGCTGAACTACTCTATGTTGTCTCTAAACATACAACTGGAGATGGGCAAATAATATCCAGATAATCAAATATATCAGCTTCTGCAACTGTGGATGGGTTAGTTTGACATCCACATTCAACAAGATTTTATAAAACAGGATCAAATGGATGATTTTCAAAATTAAGGAAGCAAAAGTCACACTACTGCTCAGATTCTTAAAATCTAGCCACTGCTCAGATTCTTATAATCTAGCCAATAGCTCAGTAATAGCTCTATCAAGAGGCCAACAACAGGAAAACTGAGGGACTGGAGAAGGACTGGAGAAGACTGTAGACAAAGCTGGGACACAGAAGATCTCAGAAGAGCTGGCCTGACATCATGGTAAGAGGAAATTTCCATTAACCAAGATAAAACAGGATCTTAGAAAAACACATACTTCTTTGGGAACGAAGTATCAGGCTATCTTTTAAAATCTTGAACGGGGAAGAAAAACACAGGGAAATGAAAGCTGAAAGATTCCCCCAAGAATGATACAAGACAAGCTTCTACGAAACTGAGAGTTTGCAGCTATGGTGGCAGATGTCTATAATCACTACTATCAGGGAGGCTGAGGCTACTGGATCTTTGAGTTGGAAGATTCTGAGCTGCAGTTGGCTAAAGCAGATCAAGTATCCTTATTCAGTCTGGCACTAATATGGTGGACCTCAGGAGCAGGGAGTTACCAAGTTGCTTAAAGAGAGAAGTGGTTTGGTTCAGAAACAAGAGTCAAAATTTCCATGATGATCAGTAGCAGGATTGGGCCCATGAGTAGCTGCTGCACTTCCAGTGTGGGTAAGATAGGGAGACCCAGGAGAGAGGGAGAGAGGGAGAGAGAGAGAGAGGGAGGGAGGGAGGGAGAGAGAGAAAGAGAGAGAGAGAGAGAGAGAGAGAGAGAGAGAGAGAGAGAGAGAGAGAGAGAGAGAGAGAGAGAGAGAGAGAGAGAGAGAGAGCAAGCGGGAGCTCAAGCTTTGGGCTAAGATTAAGATGACTTCCACCTCAGGCAGGAGATTAAAATATCCAGTGGTGTCATACAGAATCTCTGATGAGTGGATTCAAAATGGACTTTTATAGGCGTTAGAAAGAGTTCATTAAACCAAGACCAAGCACAAAAGCAAGGATCTGTAAAAAACTGTCAGGAAGACAAGTCCAAAATAGTCCAAGACCTGTAAAAAAATGCTAAAGGGCAAATGTTTTACCTGCATTGGAGAGAAGAGCAACAAGGAAGGAATAGGCCTGTGATGGGGCAATTTTAGCAGATGGCAGAGAGAAAGCAGAATTACTCAACTCCAATTTTTCTTGTTTTATCTATCAAGGAGACTCCAGACTGGAAAAGACAGAACAATAAAAGTCAAGAGAGAACTGAAATTTAAGATAAGTAAAAAGATAATAAAAGGGTACCACCTAGTTATTCTAAATAAATTCAAGTACCTAGCTTGTACAAATTATACCCCAAGGTAAATGCTGAACTACTCTATGTTGTCTCTAAACATACAACTGGAGATGGGCAAATAATATCCAAATAATCAAACATATCAGCTTCTGCAACTGTGGATGGGTTAGTTTGACATCCACATTCAGCAAGATTTTATAAGACAGGATCAAATGGATGATTTTCAAAATTAAGGAAGCAAAAGTCACTCTACTGCTCAGATTCTTAAAATCTAGCCACTGCTCAGATTCTTATAAACTAGCCAATAGCTCAGTAATGTTTAGATTCCTTAAGTGTCTGGCCAATATGGCAGATGTTCTAATAAACCTTGTTTTTGGTTGAAAGAAGGCTTGGGTCAAATTCTTTTGGGCAGGACCCACGTGTTGTAATTTTGGTGCCCCAGCACCCCTAAACCTCTAAACCTCAACAGGACTCAATGACCCTCAAAGTCCTTTTCAGCTGTGACATTTTATGATCCTTTATTTTTCAGCCACTAATGATTTCTTTGCACAGGTCTGTTTTCTGTGGAACAGCTGCACTTCTCTAATAGTTTCAAATATGAAAGTGATGTCTTAACATTTGAAATGTCAAAGAAAGTGCTACTAATTATCATTACTTTTTTATTTCTTATTAAACAATATATAATATAGTATATAAAATATGTATACTATATATATATCATATGTATAGAAGATAGTTTTATAATACTTTCTTTTCACTAATAATAAAAACAATGAAAAAAAAGTCACACTACAAGACAGCATGGATCATGCCAAACTAACCTGGTTTCCTTTTTTGATAGAACTATAAAATGGTTAGAAATTGTCAAAAGACAACGATATACACGGATGTCAACAGGATATCTGACAAAGTGGTTGAAATTTTTAAAAATAGGCTATGATACTACAATTAGGTGCATCTAAGATTGGCTGAAAGTCCTAACCCAAAAATATCAGCTTGAAAGACAATCTCTAGTAATATGTGAATAGCTACATCCCTAGCCTATCTCAGGGCTTATTAATGACTTAAGAAATAAACAGAATACTTTAAAAATTTGTATATTACACTAGGTTGAGATAATATTTAGATAACAGAATTGGGATCCAAAAAGATACGACAGGCTGGAGCAATGAAGCAGACTTCAGAGGAAATTTCTTAAGGATGAATGTAAATTCTTATACAGTTTTAAAATATCCATTGCACAAACACAGAATGCTGAAGATGTAGATAGACAGCAATTAATGTAAAAAAAGACTAGTAGCCTTAATGGATTTCAAGGTTAATATGAATCAGTGTGGCTACTGGCAAAAAAAAAAAAAGAAATGGATTCTTGGGCTGCAATAACAGAAGTAGATAGTGTCTAGAATAAGAGAGGTGATAGTATCACTGTGTTGTATGCTAGGCAGACTAATTGTGTTCATTTCTGGGCACCATATTTTAAAAAGTATGACAAACTAGAGGCAGGTGATTCAAAACCATGTTACTTGAGTATCTATTTAAGAAAGTAAGGATGTTTGATTTAAAAGAGGAAATTTAATGGAGACATGATAACCTTTCACATTTTTGAAAGATAGCTATTAATCTAAACATTTTGGTACATAGTAAGTGAAAGCAATATCACAAAGAAAAGGGATTAGAATTATTCTGCTTGGCCCTAGAGGACTGAACTAGGTCCAACAGAAAGACATATCAGCTCCAAACTGGTAAGAATTTCTTAATAATTAGAGTTGTTAAAAATGAAATGGACTATCTCATAAGGTAATAAGTTCTCCATCACCCCAGGAATTTGGGCAGTGGCTAGATGACCACTTGACAGAAAACTTAAAGAGAAGATTGATCCATTAGACAAAGAGTTAGATTGGATATTTCTCTAAGGTCTCTTCAAGTATGATTCTATGAAGCAAATATGAGATTAGCTGATATGCACAAATTCAGTATGAAATCTGTAGAAAGATATTAATTGTAAGGAGTTTGGGTACCAAATGAAACATATGAAGAGCATTCTCTAGATCTGAAATTGAAAATCCAAAGCAAAGGTCCTATAAAGGCCTGACAAGACAGATTTTAAAAGATCTAGTTAAAGAACCCACAGGGAGTAGAGGATAAAGATGCAAAAAAGACTGACTACCAGCCCCTACTCTGACCTGTGCTGGTCAGAGAACATAGGACCCTTCAAAAGTAGTCATTCCTGGAACTAAACTCATCATTAATAGACATACTACACCAAAATGGTTAAAAACCTGCCAATAATCTATCAACCTACTAGTGTTTTACCTGTGTTAGCCCAAGGATAAGAGGGGACAATTCAGAGTGAGGTGGGCAGGAATAGGAAACTCAATGCTAAAAGCATCCTGATCTCTCTCTGACTCCAAAGTGGTTTCTATTTTAGCAGGGATGATAGGATCTGTATGAGTTGCATGGATAGTTCAAAGTCTGGTTAAGGTATAGTTTCCTCTTTGTAAGCTTCAGCTTAAGAATCGTCAGATCAATTTGTCCAAAGTCCCCAAAGGTTACCAAGAGTTTCTGGCACTGTGCCCACATTCAAGAACAGCTAATAGTGAAGATACAAGGGACCAGAGCAAAGATTCCTAGGATCAGTGAGTCTTTGCTTTGTAGAAGCCCATCTGCTCAGGCAGGAAATTTCTCTAGATTCTAGCATCCAAAGATACTGGTGATTTAAGTGTGGGGTTCTCAAAATTCTCATCTCCTCTGGCCAGCACCAGATCTATCCCCACTGAGAGAGCAGGGGAGAGAATAAACCCAAAATAAAATACAGAAGTTAAATCAAGGAGCAATTCCTGATACCTGAGGCTTTCTAGTCCTACTGGGTACCCACAGTGTGAGCCTGTCTGAGATGTGACTTTCACTGCTGTTGGTCTACTTAGGTGGCTTTCTTTTTGCCATCTTGGAAGGCCTATCTATAATCACTTAGGGTTTTGTTTTTTTTGTTTTGTTTTGTTTTGTTTTGAAGAACCCTTCAGGTTTAATCTTGTTTCAGGTCTCATTTCCTTGCTTCTTTCAGATCAAGGCATCTACTTCCTCAATCTCCCACTCAGCCCCAGGTTATCCTTTTATCTCTTTCAGGAGGCTCTAAACATAAATCACTGGACAGGGTCAGGAAGGGAGATCACATCTACCCCACTTTTGAAACCAGAGTAATAAGCCCCTCCTTCTGAGCTTTGAAAAAAGGAACTCTGCTTTGGAAGGGACGAGAAGATAGCTGACAACAGTTCTCAATTAATGAGGGGAACATTGGTCTCATTTAATGAAGAGCTACTGCTTAGATCTAGCTCCTTAGAACAGGCACTAGAATCATACCTGCCCATCCAAGGGGCTTCCCACCTCTGCAGTTAAGGAATTTGGTCTTCTCTTTTAAGGCATCACAAGAATAAGCCCTACCCTGTGCCTAATTCATCAAGGGCAGTTGATCATGCTGAGTGTCTGACCATTCATACTTGAATCAGCCTCTCTCAACTTGGGAGGTCCCTAAAGTGTAGAGAGATCCCTTGCTTTTTCGAGACACCTAAGTTTTCAGGGTTCCAGAAGCAGCTGTTCTTGAGGAAATAGCAAATGACCTGACCTGATAGGTTATCTGACTGTGCAGTTATTTAACTGCTCAAGCCTGTTGATTCAAAGCCTCTTTTCCCCTTCAGGCTATTGGACAAACACAACATTCACTCAGAGCTCCTCGGATTAACCCGCACTTGTCACCCGTGTTTCCACAACAGACCCTGGCCAGGCACAGGATTTGGTCGATGCCTGGCCCCATCTGACAGTTCTGCTCCGTTCTGCCATGGACTCTCCCGCCCCAGAGAGATGAAGAAGACCTCCCCATCCCTGTCCAGTCCCAATCCCCTGCTCCGTGGGCATCTGCAACCCCTCACCGATCGACTCCCCCGCCCCCACTCGAGCTCCCTGGTCACCTACACTTCTCCCCATCAAAGCCCCGACCTCCTCCCAAGCTTCCCCCACACCACACGCTCCCCACATCCCCCTCCTCTCTTGCCAACACTCTTGTTCTCTGTGCCCCCCAATGTCCTGTTATGAACCCTTTCTTCCCTCACAGCTCTCAAGGCCTCCACATCCCCCCTCAGACCCCCTGAAGCCCCCAGCTCCTCTGAAAAGTCGCTACGCCTACACAATCTGCCACCTATCAGGGCTCCTTTTGCCTCTCCTCTGACCTCCCACTGGCACCTGGAGCCCTTAAATCCCCACTGTCGAGACCCCCATCCTTTCCTTCACCCAGCGCCTCACCCAGCTCCAAAGGTCCGCTTTCACCTCGGCTCCCAGACCAACAGCGGGCAGAAGGAACGCGCAGGCGCCGTTTAAACTGGCCCCGCCCCCGCCCCGCCCCGCCCCGTGCCGCGCACGCACCGCCCCCGGGTTCTCACAAAACGAGCCTGAATACCTGACCTCGAGCATGCGCATTACTAGAACTCTTCCCTTCGCCAGTGCGCTGTATGGTGGAGAGAGCATGCGCGGCACTGCGGGAGCCAGCTACCGGGACGTGGTTGGGGGGTGGGTGTGGAGACGGAGTGGAAGTATAAGGGAGTGGGGAAGGGGACGAACATGGACGGGCTAAGGAGCCCGCGGGCTTAGGAAAGGTATAGGTATATGCCGAAGGGCATGGGGAGGGTATAGGTTTCTATCAGAAAGTTGTCCCTCGCCTCGCCTCGTCTCCAAAAGTTCCTGAAGATAATTGACATGAGGACCTTTGACCCTCTAGTTGGTGGCTGTATGGCAGGGGAGCCAGCACTGGTGTTAGACCTGGAAAACTTGAGTCCGAGTATGCTGCATTTTAGCTGTGTGACTTTCAGCAAATTACTTAACCATTTTGGTCTTATGTAAGTTCACAAAATGAGTGGATCTTCACCTTTTTTGAGTTATGGACCACATTTGACAGTCTGATGAAGCCTACAAACTCCTCAGAATAATTTTTAAAGGCATAAAATACATAGGATTACAAGGGGGAAACAATTATGATGAATTACAGTTATTAAAAAAAATTTTTAATGACACATCTGTGTTCAAGGAACTTGTGTTTTGATTTTGTCTTTGTAGTGTCTAGCACAATGTCTGGGACATAATAGGTGTTTAATAAATATTTGTCGATTGATTAATAGAAGAAACAAAATTCATACAACTATAGTACAAGGATGAGTGTGGTCAAAGTGCAAAAAGAAAGGTGTAGGCAAAGTGCTATAGGAAATTTGAGGAGAGTCAGCTGGGGATTAGTGGTGTAAGGGAAGACTTCATGAAGGAGGTGTTGCTTGAATTGGGTGTTAAAGGAGAAGGATCCCAACAGATGGAATGGTGAAAGGACTCCATTCCAAGAATAGGAATACTATATACTATGTGAGCAAAGGCATGAGCCCAGAATGAGCAGGACTAGAGCAGAGGACAAGAAGTTTGCCTGAAACAGAGTATATGAAGGAAAAAAAAACTTGAGATAAGGCTAGAAAGGTATGTTGAAGTCAGTTTGAGAAGGACTAGGATCTAGGATTTGTATTTTATTTTATGGGCTATAGGGAGCCTTTGAAGATTTTATCACTTAGTCTGTTTCTCTGTCTCCATTATCCTTCTCTGGCATTTCCTTCTTAATTATTATAAAGGAATTTGCTGAAAATAATCACTGACCAGTGTCCATAGGGAACATTGTGTTTGAAGTAGGCAGTGTCTGTGGTGACCACATCTACCAAGAAGACAGTGTTTGTATGACCACAGTGCTCAGTGTCCACAGTGCCCATAATGCTTATTGTGTTTGTAGTGACCACAGTCTCTGAAGTGCCCACAGCAATTATAGTGTCTTCAGAGACCACAGTGACCTTGGACATGTAAAAGAGTGTTAGGCTGCTTCATAGAGAACCTTTTCATCACAAAATGAATGATGTGGACAAAGGGATGGAAAGGAAAGAAGAGACAGATACAGATATAAAGAGAGACACAGAAATAGACATAGAGATGCAAAAAGGGAGAATAGATTGGAAGGGTGTGTTTGGGGACTTGTTTAAAAATTTCTGCTTCCTTTAATTATAATTTCCTATTGGGATGGAGCACAAAGGCTGAAAGACATGGCAGGATGCTCTCTGCCCTACATCTAGAGATAGTACCCCCTCCTCCTCCTTCACCAAACAGCAGTTCTAGATGTGTCTAGACTTTGTCCTATTCAACACTTTTTAAGCACTGAATTGTCATAGGAGGAGATGGGGCTCACTCCAAAGATAAGGAGAGTAGAACAAGAGAATGACAGAGGATGCATGGGCCAGGATCCTGCCCTAAGAGGGGGCCATGATGGGAAAGGGTGAGAAGGATGGGGTTGGGGGTCTGCTGAGAAGACTCAGAGAATCTCCATCATCATTATGGTGGAAGAAGCATGAATGAAGGGTTTTCATGTCTGATAGAAGTTTTATAATTGAACACATGAATGAGTCTTGGTTTGTTGAGGGGTGTCTTCTGTTAAAACCCCTGCTTTCTATCACAAGAAAAGAGACAAGGGACAGAGAAATGTGTGTATTTTTGTTAGCATTTGGGAAATGAATCTATGACCACTGAATCAGCATAGCTTCATCAAGAACAAGACATGCTGGGGCAGCTAGGTGACACAGTAGATAGAGCACCGGCCCTGAAGTCAGGAGGACCTGAGTTCAAATCTGGCCTTAGACCAAACACTTGACACTTACTAGCTGTGTGACCCTGGGCAAGTCACTTAACCCCAATTGCCAAAGAACAAGACATGCCAATCTAACTTCATTTCTTTTGTGTGCGTGTGTAAATCATGGTTAAGTGACTTGCCTAGGGTCACACAGCTAGTAAGTATCATGTGTCTGAGGCCAAATTTGAACTCAGATCCTCCCACTCCAGGGCCAGTGCTCTATCCACTGTGCCACCTACCTGCCCCTCTTCCTTCTTTCCTTTCTTTTGTTGACAAGGTTACTAAACTAGATACTAGAGGTAGTATGGTATAATGGATAGAGATCAAGCCTCAAAGTCAGTAAGACACAGGTTTAAGTCATGTCTGACTGGCTATGTGACCTTGGCCAAGACATTTAACCTCTAAGTGCCCAATCAACTCTAAGCTTACAAGTTGTTGATAGGCACCTCTTGACTGTTCCTGAAATAAGACACTCTATCTCCTGATTCTGGGGATTTTCACTGTCTTTTCCCCATACCTGGGATGTTCTTTGCCTTTATCACTTCCTTTTGACTTCCCTGGTGTCCTTCAAGCCTCAGCTAAAGTCCCACCTTCTGCAAAAAGCCTTTCTGGATCTTCCTTAATGCAAGTGCCTTCCCTCTGTTGATTACCTCCAATTTATCCTGTATATATCTTGATTTTACAGAGTTGTTTGTACATTGTCTCTTCCATTAGAGAAGCTATAAGCTCCTTGGGAGCAGGGACTCTTTTGCCATTTCTCTCTCTCTCTCTCTCTCTCTCTCTCTCGTTGGAGATGACACATAGTAGTGACTTAAAAAATGTTAATTGACTAACTAGAGGAAATTCCTTACTGAGATTTCTCTAAACTGACAAAATCATAGGTCCAACTTAAGACTAGAACTGTTAGAACTCCCTAGACGCAATATATTTGGATTTCAGCAAGACAGAACAAAATGTCTTATGATGATCATGTGGACAAGATGGATAGAAGTAGACTAAATGATAATATAGTTACATAGATAAACATCTGGTTGAACAACTTGGCTGAAAGAGTCAGGTAGGTCTCAACCTAGAAGTATGTCTCTAATGGAGTACTGCTCTTTTCTTTAGCTTGTTTTAATCAACCTTTTTTTTTAAGTGACTTGGATGAAGGCCTAGATGGCATACTTGTCAGATTTGAGGATTACAGGAAGCTAGAAAGGATACATAATACATTGATAGCAGAAATGGGATCCAAAGAGATCTTGACAGGTTAGAAAGATGGGCTGAATAGAATTAAGATTAAATTTAATTGGGTTAAATGTAAAGTTCTACATTTGGGTTAAAAAGAATCAACTGCACAAGTTTTAAGATGGGTTAGACAATTATTCATTGGAAAAGGACATGGAGGTTTTAGTGGACTTCAAGTTTAACAGAAAACAGTGATGAGGTAGCTACAAAAACATGTGATTTTAGGCTTCATTGGTAAAAGCATAGTGTCCAAGAGGTTGTAGTTCCATTAAACTCTTCTCATCAGACCACATTCAGAGTATTATGGTCAGTTATTGGTGCCATATTTAAGGGAGGATGTTAATTAGCTGGAAAGGAACCAGAATGATGTTAGTAACTAGCACTTTAGCCTGAATGACCGAAGATTTAATGGAGCAGGGAGAACATGACCGCTATCTTCAAAAATATTGTAGCAAGTTAGCTCAATGGAGCAAATGCAGAATGACCACTTGTTAGGTGTATTGTAGAGATTCTTGCTCAGGGATGAGTTGGACTAGATGGGCTTTGAGGTCCCTTCCTACTCTGATATTCTCTGAAATATCTAAAGGAATTTTTTTTGCTTGGACTCGGAAAAGAGAAATGGGTTTGGATTCAGAAGACCTAGGCCCAAATCTCAGTAGCTTGGTGAAGTGGAAATGGTACTGAAATCCTGGCTACATCTCATTAAACTTCACTTTTCTGAACCTCAGTTTTCTTATCTATAAAATGGGAGGTTTGGACTAGGTTACTCTGTTTCTTCCTAATTTTAAATCTACCAAGCCAGGAGAGAATAACAATGTTGCTCTACATAAATTGATTCATTTACTCTTCACACAATAAGGATGTTAGGCTATTATTATCCCCATTTTACAGACGAAGAAACTGAGGTATGGGGTGATCCCAGGGTCTTAAGGGTTCTGAAGCAGGGTTCCAGCTTGTGTCTTCCTAACTCCAATGCCAGTGTCCTATGCACTGTACTACCTAGCTGTCTAAGATCAACAAGTGTCAGTTAAAGAGGTAGATCTGAGCTCTGTATAAACGGATGGGGGTGGGGAGAGAGTTATAAACTTCCTAGCAACTAGAGCTGTCCCCAGTATGGAATGAGCAGTCTAGGAAGATAGTGAGCTCTCTATCACTGGAGGTCAAGGTGAACGGCCACTTGCCAGGAATGCTGTGGAAGTTACAGGTTGGAATAGGTGACCCCTGAGGTTCCTCTGGGGTTATAAGACTCTTCAAGGGAGAGGAGCAGAGGTAGAATCCAGAGGGGATGGCGGCGATACAGATGACACTAGACACAACAACATGGCGATGGATACATCGATACAGGGATCAGTACAGCAATGGATACAGCAATACAGCTATACATAAAGTGATACAGCTACTGATACAATGATACAGAGCTCGGTACAATGACTCAAGGACAGATACAATAAGGACCACACAGCGGGACCAAGACCGCCGGCGGTCGAGGTATTTACAGTATTTACAAGCAGGGTTTCCGGGCTAGGGCTCCCTCTCTCCAAGGTGCTGGCCCACTCTCTCAGGGCCCCGAATCCTCATGACCTCTCCGGCCCAGTTCTCCTATTCGGTGGCCACTCAGTGCCCTCACACACGCTCCTGCTCACTTACACACGTTCCCAAGCGGCGGCCCTCCCCACCCGTGTCCCTGCTTTGATGCCCTCCCTTCTTTCCCTGTCACGCGGCCCCTCCACAGCGTCCCTGCCGCTCCCGCCGCTGTAATTTCCGGAGCCTCCGAGCCCAAGCATCCCGCCAGGGGATAACCAGACTGCCCCGCCCGGCGGTAAGTCCCGCCCGCTCCCCTACCCCGGTTCCCGGTGCTGTCCCGCCCAGGATCAAGTAACTGTGCCCCGGGTGCACGCGTGGACAGCGACACGCCAGGTCCCGAGCGGGAACCCATAGGACGCTCTCCCCGCGTCTCGCACGCTCTTCACGGCTCTTGTACACGGATACCACGGCCACAGAGAAGCGCGTCCACGAACCGACGGCCTCAGCGGCGCCCACTGCCACCTGCACCGCTGGGGTGGGGGAGAGAAGGAGGGGTCACATCATGTGGGAGAGGGGTCTGGAGAAGAGCCTGGACCAGGGATGGTTGAGACCGGGGTAGGGAGGGGCAAGACAAAAAAAAAAAAAGCCTAGGGAGGAGCTAGTATTGGTTGGGGAGGGGCTAGATGGGGAGGGGGTGGAGCCTGTGGATGGGGCTGGGCAAGGCTAGGGTTGGGGGACCTGGCAGGGGAAGGGAAGAGGGCGGAGATGTGGGGGTGGGGGAAGAAATAGGAGGACTGGGGCGGATTTTTAAAATGGGAGGGACCAAGACTGGGGTTGGATTCATAGGGGAGAGAGAGGAATCTGGGAGCAGAGGGGATCAGAAAGGAAAGGAAAGGAAAGGAAGGGAATGTGTGCTTGGGAGTGGGGCCAATTTTGAGGGTGGGTTGGGAATGGGCAGGGCCAACAATTGGGGGTGGAGTCTGGGTTTTGAGGGTCCAGAGAGTGGAATGGGCGGGGCTGAGGACGGCTTAGTGTTGGGGACCCGTCAGTGCCAGGAATAGTAGAGTCGACTCATATGTGAATGTGAGGGGGACCCGGTGTTGGAAGGGTTTGGTACCATAGTCTTTTCCACAATATTTCTTCAGGTTGATCCTGTAGCTCCCCCTGGCTGGTTTGCAATGAGAGTCACAATCTGGGGGCCAGGAAGGGAGACTTTAGGGCCCAGAGTCTCATAGTTTTTCCCTGCCCCTCCTCATCCCCTTCCCTGAACTTCCACCCCATGCAAATCTCTTCTACCCCCCAAATCCTCTCTAAATTCCTTCTCTCTCACTCACCCTCAGGGGCCACCGTGCTGGTCACTCCTGTGGGTACCATAGCTGGAATTTCTATGGAAAGGAGGGAAGAAGCTGATCTTGAGTATATTCCCAAAACCTCCTGAAGAAGACTTGGGGGCAGGAGGGTTCTTAGGGATTCTGGAGACTCTGGGGTGACTCAGTAACTCAAGGGCTCACTAGATCACTAGAAGCCTGGGGAGAGACTGGGGAGACTGGGAGCCTGTGCCACTCACTAACACAGGTGACCTCTGGAGTCTTTGAGACATTGAAAATAAGGGAACCTAGGTCACCACCTGGGGCCTGGGAGCATAGGTGACTGCGCCACTCACTGATGCAGGATGCAAAGGAATTTGAAGGGAACTCTAGGGTTCTGGGTCCCTAGAGAATGTGGATGATCACTCACTGACACATGGTGCTACAGGTGAGCGACTCTGCTGGAAGCCAGGAGCACAGCGATTGCAGGTAAGGCCTGTCACTCCATCCTTGCATGGGCACTGACCAGTCGTCTGATTGCAGGTTTTGCCAGCAGCTCCAACAGGGTGACAGTCACAGGCTGGAGATAGGGGAGTGAGGGATGGTCTCACCCTTGCAGGCAGAAGCCCCTGGGGGTCTCAGGGCCAGGATTAGGGGACAGGGCCGGAGGTTAGAGCCAAAGGTTAGTCAAGGTTGGAGGTCAAGGGTAGGAGTCTGGGGTCAGTTCTGGGCTTCAGGAGTTGTAGACTTAGAGTGGAGGGGTATGGGGCATAGCTTAGATTTAGAGTATGCAGTCAGGAACTAAGGTTAGGTCTTACCCTTGCAGGCACGGCGGTGGCTCAGGACCCGGGTTTGGTCACGGTAAAAACCCTCACGACAGTAATGGCAGTGCCGCCCTGCTGTATTATGCCGGCAGTTGAGGCAAACACCCCCACTACGCCTCCCCGACAATCGGTACAACTCCATGTTGAAGCGGCAGCGACGAGCATGACCATTACAGGAACAGGCTGGAGGAATTGGGGGGCATGGAAGAAAGAGGAGACTCAGACTGAGGTACAGAGGATTAGACTAGGATGGGGACAAGAGGGTGGGCAGAAGGAGCAGTCTGAGAGGTTGGGGTGTGGATACGATAGGCAAGAGGACTCATCTTATTGTTCACCTCCCTAAAACTTTTTCTGGGAAGGCTGAGAAAAAGGTCAAGGTTGGGAGGTTACAGGGCCCAGCACCAAGGTTTGTTAAGTAAGTCAGTAAAAGAAACAATGGGTCAGGAAGTCATGCAGTCAGGAACTTGTGGGACCCAGACCAAACAGAATGCTCTTAAGGGTCCCCCTCCCAGGAGTGGAACTGGGGTTGGATATGCACGGCATGGCATGTTTGCCTCACCCAGACAGGCGTGTGCCTCATGGGCTGTGGCTCGCTGCCAGGGCCGGTCGCAGTAGAAAGGCTTGCAGCGCTCACAATCCGGGCCTTCAGTGCCATGCCTACAGTCACACACCAGGCGGCCCTGGGTGTCTACCACACATCGAGATGCATGTCCATTGCATTTGCAGCGCCCACCCACCTGGAGTTCACCCACAGAGTAAACATATGGTGCCACAACCCCACCCTCTGTAGCCCTTGGCCCCACTGGCCGGGTGAGCACCACACGGATATCGGTGGCTGTGACCCAGTCCTGTAGTACAGGACTGGAATCCAAGTCCTGGCCAGGTGGGAGGCCATCCTGCATGCTGAAGGCTAGGAGGGGACCAGTCCTTGGTGGAGGCTCAGAACAAAGTGCTTCAGGGCCTCGAGGGACTATGGAGCCCAAAGAGGCCTGGGCAGGAGCCTGTCCCACAGCCCGGCTTGGCCTACCGTATACTCGGTTACACTGTGAGGAGAAGAATCGTAGTGGTGACCAGCTTCGGCCGTGGTCCTGGGATTTGAAGACAGCAGCAGAATCCGGCCTTGCTGAGCAGAAGTGTAGGCTCACATAGACTACTTCAAAGGCCTTGCCCAGGGGCAGTGTCAGTGTCACATTTAGTGGTGTCCGAGTCAGTGTTTCTGAGCGCCAGCAGGTACGGTCAGCTGCTGCACTTGCATCTGTCAGGAAGGCTGCAGGGTGGGTCTGCCTGGGGTCTGTGCTGGAAGCCTGTACCTCACGCCCCAGGGCTGCATTGACAAATTCTGGTATACAGCGCTGTGGGGCTCCTGCCTCATCATAGCAGGGGTCTGTTGGGACCTGTGGGCTAGCACTCAGCACTGGAGCCAGCATCCAGACAGCCAGCAAGAGCCACAGCATTTGGCCCAGCATGGCCCTGGTCCCTAAGGGGAACTGGCTGATTGGGCAGGACATGGTAAGGGCTAGGAGGTAGGTTAGAGGGGGGAATTCAGAGAAGAATGGGTCCCTATATCACGTATGCCCTCCTAGGTTGCAGCAAGTGGAAATTGGACGGGAGCTTCATCTTGACAAGACAGGGGGTAGGGAGGGAAACAAGGAGAGAGACACAGAGATATAGACAGAGACAGAAAGAGAAACACACACACACACACACACACACACACACACACACACACACAAATAGAGACACAGCAAGCCAAAGGCAAAGGGAGAGAAATGCAGAAAGACAAGAGATATGGAAGGAGAAAGAGAAACAGTAATACAGAGACAAAAACAAGGAGAGATAACAGACAAACGGAGACACAAGACAAACCCAGGGATAATGACAGACACAGCAGACAGAAAGACCCAGGGAGAGGAGCGAAACAGAAGCACAGAGACACAGAGACAAGGCAGAAACAGACACACCAAAAAACGGAGACACAGCAAGACAGAGACACTAAGAGATAAACGGAGACCGGAGACAGACCGAGACGTGGGCGGGAGCGGGAGAAAGGTGTGTGTGTGGGGGGGGGGAGAATGGGAGGGGCCGGAGACGTTCGGGGGGACACGCCCTGGTCAAAGCAAAAGAAAAGTTTCTTCTTCCCCCTAGCCTCGGCCTGAGAGCAGAGGAAGAGATGACAAGAGCCACCCCCCCCACGCCCACCCCACCCCCTCGTACCCCAGATGCTGCTGCCGCCGCAAGTCGGACTCACCAGAGGCAGGTTGGGGGGGCAGGGGCCAAAACGGATCTCCCTTGAGCCCCCGAGGGCGGGTCTGGGGCTTGTACCCTTCTTCCTCCCTCCCTCCTTCTGGTCCCTCAGCCGTCTCCTCCGAGCCTCCCCAGTCCAGCCCAGCCCAGCCCAGCCCAGCTGCTTCAAGAGCCGGGAGAGGGCGGGGAGGGAAAGCGGGCAGCTGGGGGAGGGGGGGAGCTAAGACCGCGCGGGGAAGGGGGGAAGTAGGGGGTTAGGGAGGAGGGGGAGCCTCGGAGGTGGGGGAGGGGGCGGGGAGCTGAGCCCTTGCCAAAGGAGGGGCGGGGAAGGGGGGCCAGGGAGCTGAGGGAGGGGGTAGGGAGGAGGGAGAGAAGGAGGAGGGGCGGCTGCAGTCTCCCCGCGGAAATCAGAAGCAGATTTCAGGACTCCAGGGAGGGGGCTGTCCGCACCGCCCTTAACCCTCGCTCCGCCCTCCTAGTCCCCCTCCTCTTCTCCATCCCGTACTCCAGCCCCTCTGCGTAGGGGGAGGCCACGGGGCAACTGTGTCTCTGGGGCTGAGAAGCGGGAGTGGGAGTGGGAGTGGGGGGGTTGGAGGGAGCGCTAAAGGGGGAGCATCCTCTGAGAGATGGGGAAGAAGGCCGGCTAAGAGGTCGGCTTGACAGGAAGGAATGGAGAGTGAGGTGGTGGTCAGGTGTTTGGAAGGCAGGCTGACGCGGGGAGGGGGCTTAGGTGGAGCTGGTAATGTCTCTGCCATCTATTAGTAGTGTCAGAGGTAGAATCCTGACACCCATCCCTCTACAAGATTAAGAGAAAATCTAGGTGGATGAAAGTGGCCGAGCTCATCTACCCACCTGACCCCACACTTAGAGATTCTAACCCCTGACTCCAAAGGGATTTCCCCCTGTCCAAACTTAATGCATCCAGTTTCCTTTAGTCCATTCTGGAACCTCATAGCTCAGCCCCACATGCCTAGATCTCTGTGTACTAGTCTCAGAGTGTTCCTGTCCAGTGCCCTGTGTATCCTGTTCTGCCAACTCAGAGAAATCTTCTAACTCCAGACATCTTGTCCAGATCCCAATCAAGTTCTACTCATTTTTACCCCTAAAATATATTTTCCACCTTTACCTGATTTAAACTCAGCAAATATTTAAATCCCACCATGTGCGTGGCAATTTTCTTCCTGATGAGGAAGCGAAGATAAGAAATGAGTCCCTGACCTACAAGAGTTTACAGGGGATGGGAGGGAGAGGCCATGAGAGGTATATAAATTAATATAACAATACCATAAGAGGCTGGGAGTGAAAGAGACAAGGGAGAGGCAAGGCACTCTAGGAAAATTTGAGAAATGATAGAAAACTGGTGGGGATCAGGATGGGCTTCCTGAAAGATGTGAGCTGAGCATTGAAAGAAATAGACATTTGAACATGTAGATGAAAAGGTACTGTATTATGGGCATGAAGGATAGATAGCCCTAAGTGAAAAGGGTGGGTTGAGTTTGGTTGGAAACAAAACAAAACAAAACAACCCACTCAAACAGTTATATGGTTCTTCAAAGTTTCCATTCCAACTGCAACTATTCTAGTTTATGCCCTAATTATTTCTAGAGTATTATAGTTTTTCTAATATGTTGAAATATTTTGTTTTGATATAAGACACTTTCCTTCAAAACACCCAAACTGCCCTACAAAGCAATTTGTCCCCAAATGATCTATTGATTGTTAACAGAAAAGAGGAATATGTCTTTTAGCTTTGATAATTGTATTGACCATTGTATTTGACCAAACTTCTTATCTTCCAGTGTTATCACCATAGTAATTTGTATATTGTTCCCTTGGTTCTTCTTTACTCTTTCCTTTCATCTGAGGCTTCCAAAGTCTCTCCAAGTTCTTCTTATTCATCACTCTTTATAACACAAGAATATTCTATAACATCCCTCTAACCTAGTTTGTTCAACTGTAATGGATTGTTGGTATTTCCTATTAACTGGTCTCTGCCTCCTCTCTCTGCCCTGTAATCCAGTTTTCATATCACTTATAAAGTCAGCTCCCTAATCACATCCTTCCCCTGCTCTCATTAATGTATCCAATGGCTCCCCACTATCTTCAGAATAAAATATCAATTCAGTGCCCTCCACCAACTAGCTTTAACTCACCTTTACAGCCTAGTTCATGTACTCCTCCACTAATATTTACACACTCTGCTCTTTAGCTAAACTATTTTCTGTTCATAAATCTGGTCCTACCTTTGATGATGTCTTTGTATACCACATTCTCTTGCCTGAAATAGACTCTGTCCTCTCTCCACCTCCAGTCTCTACCTGCTAAAATTCTTTTCCTCCAAGGCCTGGCTCAGGGGCTACTTTGTCCATATCAGTGTTCATGCTCTTCCTTGACTCCCTCTTTGATTCCCCCAAACTAAGAGAGATTCCTTCTTCATTGAACTTCCCAGGCCACTGTTTGATCAATTCTAGGAACTTAGTCATTTTCCATTAGAGTTATCTGTGTACATGTCTCATTCCTCTACTAGATTATAAACTCTGTGAGGGTAGGGATTGTTCCCCTTTTCAACTTTCTATTTTTCCCAGAGCCTAATACTGTTCCTAGCACAAAGTAGGCAGTACTAGATCTTTGTTGAATTGCTCAGTGCCCCAAATGCCCAGAGCCCCTCATGCCTAGTTCTGTTGGCCTACTGCCCTATCTGCCCTGCTCAGACTTCAGCCTTCTCCCGGTGGGACTCTTTGAATCAATAGGAGAGGACACATGAGAGGTGAAGCTTATGACATTGGTCAGAGAACACTTGGTATTTGTATGTAATTAAAATGGGACTAGTGTAGTCTGGTCAAAAACTCTTCTTTCTACCTGACACAGAATCATAGAGTCTCAGAATTGGAAGAGATTTTGAAAGCCAACTTATCCAAACCATACCTGACCATATCCTCTACAAATGTCACAAGGTAAGTTGTCCATCCTTTGCTTGAAGACCTCTAGTGAGAGTGGACTCACTACCTCCTAGCCCTGGCATTCCATTTTTTTTCTTTTTTTAAAAAATTTTTATTAATTTACTTTGATTTATCAACAATCACTTCCATATGCTTTTGAGTTTAAAATTTTTCTCCCCCTTCCTCCCCACCACCCTCCCCAAGACGGTGCACAATCTGATATAGATGATACATATACATTCCTATTAAACATATTTTCACATTAGTGATGTTGTAAGTAAGAATTAGAACCAATAGGAGGAACCATCAGAAAGAGGAAACAAAACTCAACAGAAGAGAAAAAAATAACAATTCAGCTTCCATAGTTCTTTCTTTGGGTGTGGATAGCATTTTCCATCACAAGGCCTCTGGAGATGTCTGAGATCCTTGTATTGCCAGGAAGGGTTAAGTTTATCAATATTAATCATCGCACAACATGGCTATTATTGTGTACAACGTTCTCTTGGTTCTGCTCACTTCACTCAGCATCAGACCATACAAGTCTTTCCAGGTTTTTCTTCAGCCTGTTCATCATTTCTTATAGCACAATAGTATTCCATTACATTCATATACTACAACTTCTTCAGTCATTCCCCGATTGATGGGTATCCTCTCAATTTCCAATTCTTTGCCACCACAAAAAGAGCTGCTATGAATATTTGTGTACATGTGGGTCCTTTTCCTATTTGTATGATCTCTTTGGGATATAGCCCTAGAAGTGCTATTGCTGGGTCAAAGGGTTGGCATTCCATTTTTAGATAGTTCTAACTGATTGAATCCAATCCAATTCAACAGACATTGATTAAATGCTGACTAGGTACAAAATACTGGGCTAGAGGAGATTACAAAGAGGAACTCTCAAAGAGCTCACATATTGCTACTAGAGGGAGTGAGGGGTATTAAAATATACAAAAAATAAATACAAGGTTATTTGAGGAGATGGAGAGCAATAACAACAGAGAGATGAAGGCTGATGGAGAAGTAGCATTTTAGCCAAGTCTCAAAATAAATAAGTATTAAAAAAGGTAGAATTGAAGAGGAATCTACTCCAGGCAGGAAGATCAACTTATACAAATTCACAGGATCTTATAGAAAGGATGTTAGAGGGTATATAGTCCAACTCATTTTACAAATGAAGAAACTGAAACACAGAGAAGTTAAATGATTTGCCCAGTCATGCAGGGATTAAATGGCAAGGTCAGGATTTGAACACAGCTCATCTGGGCTCTATGATACTCCTTCCATTCTACTATGATACCTCTCAATGCATAGAAATAGGTGGAAGATGCAAAAGGAAGCACCAGAAATCCACTTTGCTGGAATTTAGAGTGTGTGGAGAAGAGAATGTAAAATAAGATTGGACAGATAGGGTGGAGGCATTGTGGAGGGCCTTCAATGCCAGGCTGTGAGGTTTGCCTTTTGTGCTAGAGCCCATAAGTGAAGATTACTGAGGAGAGTGATAAACGAAGTATAGATATATAATTCTTTAAGGTTTGCAAAGTGCTTTATATATGTTATCTCACTTGATCTTCACAACAATGCTGTGTGGCAGGTGCTATTATTATTCCTGTTTTACAGATAAGGAAACTGAGGCTGAGAGAGGTTAAGTGACATACTCAGGGCCACACAGCTAGTTAAGTGTCTGAGGCTGGATTTGAACGAAGGTCTTTCTGATTCCAAGGCTAACACTTTAATCACTACACCACTGAGATGTCCAATATGTCAGGCTTTTGCTTTAAGAAGATTATTTTGGCAGTTGTAGGAAGGATTGATTGGAGACAGGAAAGATGGGAAGGAAGTGGTAACCTGGCATGTGTCAAGAACCTTGAGTAAGGGGGAACTCACTACTTTAGGAGGCAGCCTGTTTTTATTTTTGAAGGGAATTAAATATTAGAGAGCTTTTCTTTTCTACTTCTGCAATTTCTACTCATTTTCCTTAGTTCTGCCA